TTTCTTATGCTGGGCATTCATGGCTTCCAGCATGTTTCTGATCTCATCTATTTTCTTGTCTGTTTCTGCTCTAGAGCCTCTAATCATGTCTTTCACTCTACTCACCATCTCCATATTTATCTGGGAGATTATTTTTGCTTTGAATTTTTCTAGAGCCTCATGTGTCTGCTCTGTTACTTCCTGTGCTATCAGTTCAGGTTGTCCAGGTGGTTGATTATCCAACTTTTCCACCTTATTTCCCCCAGAATTTCCTTTTTGTGGAGTGGAAGCCTGTGTTTAATGTCTTCTTAAGCCTTGCTTAAATGTATTCTCATTTTTGCTTTTGGTACTGTCCTTGGTTTAATTCTTGGGTTGATATTTCAAAATTGCTTAATGCAGGTATCCTTGTTGCTTGTGTTTAAAACCCTTGTGGAATGATTGTTTTTCAGAGGTCCCTTCCAGATATGGCTTGTGTTTAGGTTTTGAGGCTCTAATGACTCTGAGGCTATTTTATTTTCATTATACCAGGAAGGAAAACTGATTAGATCAATCACAACATGTTAGGTCAAATGTTACAATCAGCAATACCATAGCATCAAGCGCAGCTTAGAAAACGACAATTTGTGGTAGTTATTAATCTATCACATTTAACTATGTGAAGTATGATCCTCTGTGCCTCTGTGCCTCTGTAGTGAGGGACCAGGTAGCAGACGAGCCATAAGGTGGGGGGGATAGAATTGGGTCGTGCAACGGCTAAGTGGAGCACCGGATGAAGGTGTAGCTCCAGGCCCCTCCCGGGACCCCACCGTGCTGCAGACAGGAACCGGATCACAGCCAAAGAGCCCCAGGGTGCCTGGCCTACCGGAGGAGAGAAGTCCCAGATAAAGGCGGGGCTCCAAGCCGCTCCCGGGACCTCACCGTGCCTCGGACCTGGATACTGATTTCTGTGTATCAAAGCATGCTTAATTATGCTATTGAAGTCTACTTTGTGCGCGCTTGGTATTAGCGTCTTTGAGCTGGCACATTCTGACCGTGAATTGACTTTCTGCGGCTGGTTTTGTAAGATTAATAATTAGTAGGCTCTTTGCAGTTGTAATAGGTTTAACTGTATGGGTTTCGTTTATCCCACTCCTAGGTGCTCCTGTTCTTAATCTCTTGGCGAGTGTGGGGTGGATGTGGGTGTGGGTGTGGGCAGAGTGTAGCACCCTCTTTGTTCCCAGTGCCATCCCTCTGTCCTGCCAGAGCTGATGCTCAGTTCACATTCACCTTCTCTATGCTGGCATCTGGGCCCTCCTCGCTGTGCTTGTGTCCCTGCTTCAGGAGGCTCCCACTGGGTTTTCCTCTTGGGAAAAGAGATGCAGCCTGGCCTACCAGGTGCCCTGGCCGCTCTCAGCTTGGGCTGTACCTGCCCTTGTATCGATTTGACTTTTCTACTTAAATTTTCCATTCCTGACTTTTGCCCTTCGAGCAGTAGAGCGTGCTTTGGTGCTGATCTGCATGTCGCTGCTGCTGTTAGGCTGCCCACTCCCCTCATGGGTGTGCAAGTTCTGTCACTGTACTTGGTCTTGAGTTCTCTGTCTTGAGTGATCCGACCCGCTTTCCTCCATAGACAGGACAGCCGACATGCTCTTTTTCCTTCTTCCCAATGCTCAGCATTGTTTATAAAGAAACTGGATGTCTCCGCTCAGCTTGTTATGATTTTGTTTTTATGGTTTTCCTGTGTTCATGGCTGTAGTTAACTTGGATTTGCACTGTGAACACCGAATTCTGTGTTTGATGCTGATTCCATTTCACAGCGCTGTTTCCTGGGGCAGCGCTTCCCCTTTTAGGGGTTTTATCCTTTTAGTCAGAAAGTGTGAGGAAACACGTTTGTGGAGAAGCTAGTTTTCCAGGCAGGGAGGGCTGCTGTCTGCAGGTCTCTGAGCCTCCCCTCCGCATCCTGCCCAGATTGTGACTGCAGCGCCAGCGGGACTGAGGACAACGCCTGCCGGAAGGACCCAAGGGTTGGTCACTGCGTGTGCAAACCCAACTTCCGGGGTGCCCACTGTGAGCTCTGTGCTCCGGGGTTCTACGGACCGAGCTGCCAGCGTGAGTGCAGCCCTGCCCCCAGCCCCACCCTCTGCGGGTGACCCGCCTTGGCCTGAGTGTGGGCTCCTTTCCCTGCAGCATGCCAGTGCTCCAGTCCCGGGGTGGCCAATGGCCTCTGTGACCCCAACTCTGGCCAGTGCAGGTGTCGCATAGGCTTTGAGGGGGCTGCCTGCGATCACTGTGCCCCCGGCTACTTCCATTTCCCTCTGTGCCAGCGTGAGTGGGGTCTCCCCGAGTGGGCGTGGGTGGGGTGCATGCCGGAGGCATAGTCTGCCTGGGTCGGGGTCCCTGTGACACACCTGCTCCGCAGTGTGTGGATGCAGCCCTGCAGGGACCTTGCCCGAGGGCTGTGATGAAGCTGGCCGCTGCCTGTGCCGGCCCGGGTTTGATGGCCCCCACTGTGACCGCTGCCGCCCAGGCCACCACAGTTACCCCAGCTGCCATGGTGAGATGGCTGAGGTGGGAAGGGACTAGGCCGCCTGCACAGGGCTAGACCTGACCCCACTGTGCCCTTACAGCCTGCGCCTGTGACCCCCGGGGGTCCCTGGACCAGCTCTGCGGGGCAGGTGGTTTGTGCCGCTGCCGCCCCGGCTACATGGGTGCCACCTGCCAGGAATGCAGCGCTGGGTTCCATGGCTTCCCCGCCTGCATCCGTGAGTATCTGGGAGGAGGGAGGAGAGGGGTGAGAGTCCCCACCACAGACTTACGCCCTGCCCTCGTCCCACAGCCTGCCACTGCTCCACTGACGGCTCCCTGCACTCAGCCTGTGACCCCCGGACAGGCCAGTGCAGCTGCCGGCCCCGTGTGGCGGGGCTGCGGTGTGACGTGTGTGTGCCTGGTGCCTACAACTTCCCCTACTGCGAAGGTGAGGGCTGAGGCAGGCGGGCAGAGCTATGTTCTCGGTGTGTGAAAAACTCTGCACGTCACGTGCCTCTTGGGTTGCGTGCACTTGTGTGCACACAGGCTTATTGGGGACCTGTGTGCGCGTGCCCTGCATTTGCATGGTGCTCTGCCCGTGGGTGTGCTCGCTCGCGTGTGATGCACTTCCTGAGCTGTGTGTGCACATGTTCACATGGTCCTTCAGTGTGCACGTGTGTGTTTGTGACTTGTGGGTCACTGTGTGTGTGGGCATGTGTCCATGTGCTGTGGTGGGGGAGGACCTGTGTCTTTCTCTCCAGTCAGGGCTGGAGGCGGTGTGTGTCCTGGGTTCCGTGGAGATGTAGCCTTTGGTTGGGCCCAGGAAGTCCTTGGCCTTCGAGGGTCAGTCACCAAGGAGTGACCGGCTGCTTTGTCTCTCCTTAGCTGGCTCCTGTCACCCTGCTGGCCTGGCCCTGGCCAATCCCAACCCTCATGAGGTGAGGCCAGGTCTGCCCATGATGTGGGATGGGTGGGCCACCTAGGCTTGAGTAAAAGTCCCAAACCTGGTGAGGCCCTGGCTTCCTGCCCGCTGCTTGGTTGCCATGGCAACCGCAGGCCTTTCTGTTCTTCCTGCTGGTCCTTTGCCCTGGTTCCCAGGTGACTGCCAGACGGGGCGGGGTCAGCCCTTTCTTGGGGCTCCAGGGGGAGGGCCCGTGGGGGAAGGGACCCACTGTAATCAGTCTCATCCTCTCCTGGCACAGGGTCCGTGTGTGTGCCGGGCTCATGTGGAGGGGCCGAGCTGTGACCGCTGCAAACCTGGCTTCTGGGGGCTGAGCCCCAGCAACCCCGAGGGCTGCACTCGTGAGTGCCTGGAGGGAGCGTTGGGGTATAGGCACGGAGGGGGAGCCCAGGTCCGGCCCTCCAGTCCCCAGCAGCTCTCAGGCCTGCTCTGCTCTCCCCAGGCTGCAGCTGTGACCCCAGGGGCACACTGGGTGGAGTCTCCGAGTGCCAGCCGGTGAGTCTTAGGGGGGTTTGGCTCCCAGGGTGAGGTGGGTTGACACCACCGCCCGGTCCCACTTTGTCGTGGCCCCAGGGCAGTGGCCAGTGCTTCTGCAAGCCCCATGTGTGTGGCCAGACCTGTGCGGCATGTGAGGACGGCTTCTTCGGGCTGGATCAGGCTGACTACTTTGGCTGCCACAGTAAGTGGCCATTTGTGGCCCCTCAGACCACATCCCTGCTGTCTCTTAGGTCACGTCAGGGATGCCGAGGCCCGGGAGGCCAGATGAGTGAGGGACACCTGCCGGGCCTGAGTACAGTGAGGCCCAGTCTGGATTGGCGTCCCTGGCCAGGCCCTGGCAGACATTGCCAGGGGCCCCCGAGGTGGACAGGGAGGGCTGCTCAGGCCTCGTTGCTCCCCAGGAGAGTGGCTGGGAGAGTAAGGGCTGCCTGTGGGCAGAGCAGGCCTGAGCTGTGGGGCCCAGAGCAGGCCATGCTGTGTCTGAGCTCTGACTCCTCCTGCTGCTGCAGGCTGCCGATGTGACGTCGGTGGAGCCCTGAGCCGGGGCTGCGACCCGAAGACAGGCACTTGCCGGTGCCGCCCCAACACCCAGGGTCCTACCTGCAGCGAGTGGGTGCCCCATGGGACAGGCCAGGGTGTGGGAGGCAGCTCGTCCCAGGCTCCCCCATGTCCCTTACCGCGGGGCCACCCGGCTGTGCCCACCCCCCTGACACCCGTGCCATGGCCAGGCCCGTGAAGGACCACTACCTGCCTGACCTGCACCATCTGCGGCTGGAGCTGGAGGAAGCGACCACCCCCGAGGGCCATGCTGTGCGCTTTGGCTTCAACCCGCTGGAGTTCGAGAACTTCAGCTGGAGGGGCTATGCGCACATGGTGCCCATCCAGGTGGGCCGCCCCGCCCCGCCCCACCCCGCCCCCACTCAGCAGAGCCAGCTGTGGGTGTCAGAGTGGCAGCCAGGCCCTGGGGTGGCGGTGGCTGAGGAAGGTGACCCCACTGTTCGGGTCCACCGCAGCCCAGGATCGTGGCCAGGTTGGACGTAGCCTCCTCTGACCTCTTCCGACTGGTCTTCCGCTACGTCAACCGTGGGCCCACAAGTGTGAGTGGCCGGGTCTCTGTGCAGGAGAACGGCAAGTTCAGCACCTGCGTCAACTGTGAGTGGAAGGCTGGCCCTGCCCCGCCCCGCCCCGCCCCGCCCCGCCCCACCCCACCCCACCCCGCACTACCCCGCACTGTGCCCACCCTGCCCTTCCTAGCCCACCTGTCCCTCCAGCTCCACTTGGGGGTGGTGGGCTCAGGCTGTCTTCCCGCACCATGGGCCAGCTGCAGCCCCGGGTGGCGCAGGCGGCCAGCCTGGAGTTTCCCTTGCCAGGCACAGAGCAGAGCCAGCCCGTAGCCTTCCCACCCAGCACCGAGCCTGCCTTCATCACCGTGCCCCAGAGGGGCCTTGGGGAGCCCTTTGTGCTGAACCCTGGCACCTGGGCCCTGCTCGTGGAGGCCGAAGGGGTGCTCCTGGTGAGGTGGGGGCCGAGGTGGGGTTGGGCACAGGCCCCGGGCCCAGGAGCCTCAGTACCCACTCCCTGCCTCCACCAGGACTATGTGGTCCTGCTGCCCAGCGCCTACTATGAGGCAGCCCTCCTGCAGCTTCGAGTGACCGAGGCCTGCACCTACCGCCCCTCCGCCCGTCGCTCCGGGGAGAAGTGAGGGGCCACCCCGTGGGACTGGGGCAGGGCTGCCTGGACGTCCTTTCCGCACCCGCACCGGCCCCGTGCCCAGGCAGCCTGGGGGGTGGCTCCTGGGTGGACCAGTGCTGACCTCAGGCTCTGTCCCTTCAGCTGCCTTCTCTATGCACACCTCCCCCTGGACGGCTTCCCCTCGGCTGCTGGGCCTGAGGCCCTGTGTGGCAGTGACAACAGCCTGCCCCGGCCCTGCCCCCTGGAGCAGCTCAGCCCTTCACACCCACCGCTGGCCGCCTGCCTGGGCAGTGACGTGCGTGTCTGAGGCCCACGGGGGCGGGGGGCGGTGTGACCTCGGACTGGGTGAGGGTCCTAGTCCCACAGCAGGGCAGGTGCAGGGCAGAGAGGGTGGCCTGGTGCTGTCGCCAGTCTGACCTCATCTTAGACAGGGGGCTCACCCGGCTCCCCTCCTCTGCAGCCCCTGGGCAGGCAGGCGGGGAGGATGGCCTGTGGGCCTCTGGTCACCCTGCCCTCCCGCAGGTGGACATCCAGCTGCAAGTAACTGTGCCACGGCCGGGCCGCTACGCCCTGGTGCTGGAGTATGCCAACGAGCATATGCGCCAGGAGGTGGACGTGGCCGTGCACACTCCCCAGCAGGGCCCCCAGCTGGGGGCCGTCAGCCTCCACCCCTGCAGTTACAGGTGGGCTAGGGGAGGGGCGGGGCGGGGTGGGGTGGGGCCCAGGGCTGCTCACCCCCTGACTGACCCAACCCACAGCACCTTGTGTCGGGGCCTCGTCCTGGACGCTCGGCACCACGTGGCCACCTTCTACCTGGACTCAGAGGCCAGCATCCGACTCACAGCAGAGCAGGCGCGCTTCTTCCTGGTAAGGACCCCACCCCCACAGCCCTGGGCTCAGTCTCCTCTGGCAGGTGTGGAGCAGGAGAGCATCCGCTCCCACGAAGGGAGGCAGCTGGGGCGGGTGAAAAGCCTCAGGCTGAGGGAGACCCACATAAGGGCAGGGCGGTGGCAGTGGATGTGGGCTAAGTGGGGTGCTGGGCCGCAGGAAGTGTCCCTTGGTTCTATGTCCGGGACTGGGATCCACGTTGCCCGGGCTCCGGGTCTGGGTCTGAGGTCTGAGGTCTGAGGTCTGAGGTCTGGGTCTGGGTCTGGGTCTGGGTCTGGGTCTGGGTCTGGGTCTGGGTCTGGGTCTGAGCGCCGGGGCTGGAGCCTGGGGCCTGGGCTCTGTGGCCTGGCGGCCCTGCACTTCGCCACAACCTTTCCTGCTGGGGCATAGCAACACCTCGCCTCTCTCCCTGCAGCACAGCGTCATTCTGGTGCCCCAGGAAGAGTTCAGCACAGAGATGGTGAAGCCCCGGGTCCGCTGCACGAGCAGCCACGGCACCTTCGGGCCCGGCAGGTAGCAGAGCGAGCAGGGGCCAGGAGGCTTGTGGGCCCTGCTGGCCGGGAGGCCTGGCCTCACTGACTGTGTTCCCCAGTGCCGCCTGCCTGCCCTCCCGCTTTCCGAAGCCGCCGAGACCCATCATCCTCAGGGACTGCCAGGTGCTGCCACTGCCTCCCAGCCTCCCTCTGACCCACTCTCAGGAGCTCACACCAGGTGCGGCCCCCACTGGGCCCCAGCCTCGGCCCCCCACTGCTGTGGATCCCGACACGGAGCCCACCTTGCTGCGCCACCCCCAGGTGAGGGCCCCGGCTGGGCCATGGTCTCCAGAAGGATGGGGAGTGGGCAGTGAGGCCTCTGGGGCCCTGCCCTGGCCACCCCGTGGCTGTCAGAGTGACAGGAGGGGCTGGCTTGGGACCCGCACTCTCCCAGCTCTGCCCACTCACTGGCACCTCTCCCTGCAGGGCACTGTGGTCTTCACCACCCAGGTGCCCGCCCTGGGCCGCTATGCCTTCCTGCTGCACGGCTACCAGCCAGCCCACCCCAGCTTCCCTGTGGAGGTCCTCATCAGCGGGGGCCGCATCTGGCAGGGTGAGTGGTGGGGAGGTGCCGTCTCCCTCGACGTGGGCGCACACGTTCTCCCTAGTCACAGGCTGACCCACCCTGTCCTGCTGCCAGTTCAGAGCCTCAGGGCCACTGTGGGCGTTCACCTGTACCTGGCTCACCATGGTCCCTGGCAGTCCCAGCCCTGAGTCTGCCCCTCACACCTGGCCCCCACATTAGTATTCTCAGCTCAGGTCTCTCATGCACCGTGCTGTGAGCGTCTGGTGCAGGTGCTCAGGGAAACCAGGCACCTGCACCCAGGGGTGCTCATGTGTGGCCTTAGGGCTGCAGGATCAGGTGCCCACAGTGTGTGCCACAGTGCACACTGCCCTGCCCCGCCCCACCTGTGTCCTCTCCCCTGGTGTCTCCAGTAGTGCTGTGGGCCCAGAGCAGGACTGGGGGGAACTGGGGTGCTCAGACCGGGCCCTGATCCTGCCTCTTTGCTGCTCCAGGCCACGCCAGTGCCAGCTTCTGCCCACACGCCTATGGCTGCCGCACCCTGGTGCTGTGTGAGGGCCAGGCTGTGCTGGATGTGACTGACAGTGAGCTCACGGTGACCGTGCGTGTGCCTGAGGGCCGGTCATTCTGGCTGGTGAGTCCCAGGCTGGTGCCTCCACTCGGGGTACTGGGTCTCTCAGTCAGGGTGTGTCCCCAGCCTGTTGCCTGCTGCCACAGCCCCGTGCCAGGTGCCAAGCGGGATAGCCTCTGCCTGGGGAGCCCCAGGGCCACCATGTTGTCCCATCACCCCTAGGCCCTGCTGGTCAGTGGCCTTCCTGCAGGAGAGGGGACACCAGGAGGCTGCTTCCTCTCTTACTTCCCCAGGCTGTGTGGCCCAGCTGCCTTGCCAGGACCTGTGTGTGGGGTTGCTATGCCAGCAGAGCCTGACTTGCCTGCCAGACTGTGGCCGGTCTTGGGGGCTTCCCTCGTTCCCTGCCTCTGCCTCAGGCTCTGGCCGTGCCGCCCCACACCAGGCCCTTTGCTGGGCCCAGGGAAGCTGACCAGGTCTTGTCCTCTAGGATTACGTGCTCGTTGTCCCTGAGGATGCCTATAGCCCTAGCTACCTCCGGGAGGAGCCCCTGGACAAGTCCTACGACTTCATCAGCCACTGTGCTGCCCACGGCTACTACATCAGGTGGGCTGGGCTTGGCAGGGTCGGGGTGCAGGGGTGGTCTGGTCAGGAGCTCGCCTTACCAGCTGGCCTTCCTTGCAGCCCCCACAGCTCATCCCCATTCTGCCAAGACGCTGCCAACTCGCTGTCCCTCTTCTACAATAATGGGGCCTTACCTTGTGGCTGCCACGAGGTGGGCGCCACAGGCCCCACATGCGAGCCCGTCGGGGGCCAGTGTCCCTGCCGGGCCCATGTCATCGGCCGTGACTGCTCCCGCTGTGCCACTGGCTACTGGGGCTTTCCCAACTGCAGGGGTGAGTACCATCATGCTGGGAGCACTGGTGCCCGCGGGTGCCCGATCCCAGGGGGGCTTCCCAGGAATGCGGCCATGGGTCAGGGAAGCATCCTGCCACCTGACAGGCCAGCCCTGTGGACCTCAGGCTGCTGGTAGGTCAGCTGCTGGATGCCCACCTTGTGGGTTTGTCTAGAAGGTTCCAGGGACCCACAGATGACCTCCAGCCCCTGGCAACTGGACAGTGTTCTGGGCAGCTTCTCCACATTGGAGGTGCTGCCTGAGGCTCAGGCCCGGGAGATGGGTGGGGGACCTGGCCAGGGACCCCCTTACCCGCTACTTCTGGAGGCCTGCAGTGGAGGGGGAGTGGGCGGAGGGGTGAGCCAGCAATGTCCACCCCACAGCCTGCGACTGTGGTGCCCGCTTGTGTGAGGAGCTCACGGGCCAGTGTATTTGCCCGCCACGCACTGTACTCCCTGAGTGCCTGGTCTGCCAGCCCCGGACCTTCGGCTGCCACCCCCTGGTCGGCTGCGAGGAGTGTAACTGCTCGGGGCCCGGCGTCCAGGAGCTCACCGACCCTACCTGTGATGTGGACAGTGGCCAGTGCAAGTGAGTGCCTGGGACGGGCCCTGCAGGCTCTGGGCAGGAACCAGGAGAGCCCAGAACCCACCCTGGCCCTCGGTTCCTGGAGGACACTGTCCAGGGGGGGCCCACACATTCTTGCTGTGCCAGTGGCCCAGGCGGGAAGGGGGCTCAGCCAGCCTGTGTCTCCCTGGCAGGTGCAGACCCAATGTGGCTGGACGCCGCTGTGACAGCTGTGCCGCAGGCTTCCACAGTTATCCCAGCTGCCGCCCCTGTGACTGCCACGAGGCCGGCACTGTACCTGGTGTGTGTGACCCCCTCACAGGCCAGTGCCACTGCAAGGTGAGAGGGGGCCTGCACCCAGGTCCCCTGTCCTGCGTGGTCTCAGCTGAGACGCCTTCCGCAGCCCTTTTGGGTGGCTGGGGCTTCCTGGAAGCCTTGGGGAGTAAGTGGGTGGGGTGGGCCGTGGGGTTGGCCTCCTGGGATACAACTAACTGCCCCTCATTGCCCTTGTCCCTAGGAGAACGTGCAGGGCCCGAGGTGTGACCAGTGCCGCCTTGGGACCTTTTCGCTTGACGCTGCGAACCCCAAGGGCTGCACCCGCTGCTTCTGCTTTGGGGCTACGGAGCGCTGCAAGAGCTCTGCCCACGTCCGCCGTGAGGTAGTCTGCCAGGGCGCTGTGGTGGCAGACGGATGGACAGATGGAGGGAGGGAGCTAGAACACAGGATGGAGCCATGCCGCATGGGCACCTACCCTGTGTGACCTGCCTGTGCACCCACAGCTTGTGGACATGGAGGGCTGGACTCTGCTGAGCACTGACCGGCAGGTGGTGCCCCACGAGAGACTGGCGGAATCAGAGCTGCTGCGTGCGGACCTGCAGCACATGGCCAGCTCCCTCCCTGATGCCCTCCCCGAGCTGTACTGGCAAGCCCCACCCTCCTACTTGGGAGACCGGGTAAGCAGGGGCTGGCACCCGAGGGTGGCTGGTGGACTGGGCAGGGATGGCGAGGTTACGCCCAGGGACGAGGAACTCCGAGGGTGCCCAGGCCCAGCCAGGGTGCAGATGCTGTGATGAATGAGGGCGGAGACCACTGCCACCAGGCTTCCTCCGTGCCTAGCCCGTCAGCTCTGCTGCTCTGCTGCTAGGTGTCGTCCTATGGTGGGATGCTCCGCTATGAGCTGCACTCGGAGACCCAGCGCGGAGACGTCTTCATCCTCACCGAGAGCAGGCCGGATGTGGTGCTGCAGGTAACACAGTGGCATGGACGTGGCAGGTCGGACAGGTGTGGCGCCAGCTGGGACAGCAGGCCAGCCCCTTGCCGACCCTCACCCAAAATGCGTCTCCCAGGGCAACCAGATGAGCATCACATTCCTGGAGCCAGCATATCCTGCACCCGGCCACGTCCATCTCGGGCAGCTGCTGCTGGTGGAGGTGAGGAGTGGGCAGTGCAGTGGACCCTGGCAGACCTGCATGATGGAAAAGCTCGGGGCAGGAGGGGGCCGCTGTCGGCCTCCTCTCTGGTCACCCAGTGTGTGACACTGTCTTGCCCTGTGCTGGTTCCCTCATCCTTGACGGTGGGGTGCTCCCTACTACTCTGTGGCCATGTGGCTTCCTCCACTGTGAGCTCTGCCCTCGGAATCCTTGTCTCTTTGCTTTTGACTTCCTGGCCCTCTCGTCTTTTTAGCGGAGTTCATTCTTTTTGTGGTGTTGGGGATTAAATCTAGGGCCTTTGCACTAAGCTGCATCCCAGCCCTTTTTAAATTACTTTGAGACAAGGTCTTGCTAAGTTGCTAAGTTGCCCAGGCTGGGCTCAGATTTCTGAACCCCCTGCTTTCAGCCTCCCAGAGTGCTGAGATTACAGGCGTACCCCCCTCCTACCAGCTAAGTGTCCGTTCTTTTTTTTTTTTTTTTTTTGGTACTGGGGATTGAACTCGGATCCTTGTGCTTGGGAGGCAGGCGGCAGAACCACTGAGCTAAATCCCCAGCCTAAGTGTCCGTTCTTGATGCTCACACACTCTTGGGGTGGAAGCTGACTTCTTTTATTGTTTGATTTATTTATTTATTTTTACTTTTAGTTTGTAGCTTTCTTTCTCTAAGGTGTCACTTAGTGAACAGTTTTTATATTGAATGTACTCAAGCTTATCAATTTTTTATGCAGTTTTTTTTTGGTTTTTTTGGTACCGAGGATCGAACTTGGGTCCTTGGGCTTACGAGGCAGGCAGCGAAACCACTGAGCTAAATCTCCGGCCTTTTACACAGTTTTTGTTCTTACATCTTAAAGTATTTGTCTTTCTGTGGCCAGAAAGTACTTATGTATATTTTCTTCTAAAAGCTCAAACCATTTTCTTTGCGCATTTAAATTCCCTTTTTTTGTTCTGTTACTGAATCCAGACCCTTTACATTGAGTACATTTCCAGCCCTTTTGATTTTTTAAGACAAGGTCTTGCTTAGCTGTTAATTTTTCCAAGCTGGGCCTGTACTCACAACCCTCCTGCCTCAGCCTCCCAGGGTGCTGGGACTACAGGCCTCTGTCACCAGGCCCGGCTACATTTAAGTTCTTAATACACCTGGAGCTGACTTTGGTGTGTGGCATGAGGTTGGGGTCCGGCTGCTGGTCCTTCATGGGGGTGACCTGAATGTGCCTCTGCCCCCACTCAAAGGTCTGCCTGCTCACCCCTCTGCCCCCGTGGCTGTGGCCCCACTGAGGTCCTGTCTTGGCCTTGCAGGGGAACTTCCGGCACACAGAGACCCACAATGCTGTGTCCCGTGAGGAGCTCATGATGGTCCTGGCAGGCCTGGAGCAGCTGCAGATCCGCTCCCTCTTCTCGAAGGTCTCCTTGGCTGTCTCCTTGCGTAGGGTCATGCTGGAGGTGGCCAGTGAGGTGGGCAGAGGCCCTCCAGCCAGCAGTGTGGAGCTGTGCATGTGTCCTGCCAACTACCGTGGGGACTCGTGCCAGGTGAGATGGGGTGGGCCCAGGCTGGGGGCCGCATCCGTCCTCCCCTGTGCGTGCCCCCCTGCTGCAAGATTCTTGGTGCTGTCCCCACCTCTGTGCCCTGTTCGCCTCTTCTGGCCCACTGCCCTGCTGGCCTGCTCGCTGGCTCATGGTCAGCTGCTCCGTTGTTACCTGGCTCCCTGCTGTCCATGCACTGCCCACTCTGGCCCCTTGCCTACCCAGCCATCTGTCCTGACGTCCAGCTAACTGCCACCTCTTCATCCCACACCTGTCCACCCATTGCTGCTCGCCAGCCCTGGGTGGCTCCTGGTGCCGGCGGAGGACTGGCTGGGCTCCCTGGAGAGAGGTCTCCCTAGCAAGGAGGCTGTGGCCCACATGTGGGGCTGCTCACCAGCCCCAAGGCCCAGCCATTACTGAGTCAGGGTGTCTGCATGGCCCTGGCGCCCTGTCCTCAGACCTGAGAGTGGCAGCCAGACACCTGTCCCGCATCCAGCTGGCCGGGGCCCGGAGTTCTGCTTGTGGCCCAGCCTCTGCCCAGTGTCTGTGCGGCATCTGCTCTGGGCACAGGGCTCCCAGCAGGACCCCCAGCAGGACCCTGGGGGCTGACCGGCCCTGGGCTGGCCCTGCCTGCTGTGCCAGTCATCCGTGCCCCTCCACTCTGCAGGAATGTGCCCCTGGCTATTACCGGGACACCAAGGGACTCTTTCTGGGCCGATGTGTCCCCTGTCAGTGTCATGGCCATTCAGACCGCTGCCTCCCTGGTTCTGGCGTCTGCGTGGTAAGTAGGACCGGTGGGGAGGGGGCACCAAAGGCACAGGTGGTCTGGCCAGGGGGACCCCTGGGCCTTTGGGGCTGTGGTTCCAGATATGCTGAGGCCCAGGGCTGGGCATGGAGTCCCTGGCAGGGTTGGGTGGGACAGGGCCTCCACCATGGGCGCTGACCCCCACTGCCCCAGGGCTGCCAGCACAACACAGAGGGGGATCACTGTGAGCGCTGCCGGGCTGGCTTCGTGAGCAGCAGGCCTGAGGACCCCTCTGGCCCCTGTGTCAGCTGCCCCTGCCCTCTGGCGGTTCCTTCCAACAAGTAAGCTGCACCAGGCCGTCCAGGGCTGAGACTCGGACAGCCCGGCCCCCTTCCCTGCTTCCTTGGCGGGACCCCACTATTTTCCCCACCACTTGGAACCCCAGGGCGTGGGCAGGGGTCACCGGGCGGGGATGGAGGCACTGGCGCCCAAGCTCGGGTGCTGGGAGGGCCGGCAGAGCTCAGCGACTGCTGTCTCACAGTTTCGCGGAGGGCTGTGTCCTGCGCGGCGGCCGCCCCCAGTGCCTCTGCAGACCCGGCTACACGGGGGCCTCCTGTGAGCGGTGAGCCAGGCTGGGGGCGGGGAGTGGACGGGGCTCCTGCGTGGGGCGGGGGCCCTGACCAGCCCTTGCTCGCTCGCTGCCCCCAGGTGTGCGCCCGGCTTCTTTGGGAACCCTCTGGTGCTGGGCAGCTCGTGCCAGCCCTGTGACTGCAGCGGCAATGGCGACCCCAACATGATCTTCAGCGACTGTGACCCCCTGACAGGCGCCTGTCGCGGCTGCCTGCGCCACACCACCGGGCCTCACTGTGAAAGCTGCGCCCCTGGTTTCTACGGCAATGCCCTGCTGCCTGGCAACTGCACCCGTAGGCACCCTGGGGAGGGGTCCCCCAATTCACCATCAGCCTAGGTCCCATCAGGGCAGTAGGCAGGGCTGGCCAGGGAGCTGGCGGCTGTGGGGCCAGAGCAGCCTGGACCAGGCACAGCCAGGAGGGGTGGGACGGGATTGGTCAGGCGGTCGTGGGTGGCGGGGCACTTGTCTCACCTCCTCTTCTGCAGCGTGTGACTGCTCCCCGTGCGGGGCAGAGGCCTGTGACCCCCGGAGTGGCCGCTGCCTGTGCAAGGCTGGTGTGACCGGGCCCCGCTGTGACCGCTGCCAGGTAGGGCTGGAGGAAGCAGGCGTGGGATTGGTGCAAGGCCTCAGGGCTGGAGGAGGTGGGGTCTCCTCACGAGCCCGGCAGGGCCGTCAGCATGGCTTGCCCCCGCAGGAGGGACACTTCGGTTTCGAGCGCTGTCAGGGCTGCCGCCCTTGTGCCTGTGGGCCAGCCGCCGAGGGCTCCAAGTGCCACTCCCAGAGTGGGCAGTGCCACTGCCGACCAGGAGCTGGAGGGCTCCAGTGCCGTGAATGTGCCCCTGGCCACTGGGGGCTCCTGGAGCAGGGCTGCAGGCGTGAGTCTGGCGGGCCATAGGAGGGCAGTGGGCACTACGCAGGGGCGGTGTTGACCCTGCCCACTCCCCGCAGGCTGCCAGTGCCCAGGGGGCCACTGCGACCCGCACACTGGCCGCTGCACCTGCCCGCCAGGGCTCAGCGGGGAGCGCTGTGACACCTGCAGCCAGCAGCACCAGGTGCCTGTGCCAGGCGGGCCCAGGGGCCAGGGTGTCCACTGCGAAGGTACAGCCCACCCTGAGGCCTCTCCTGCCCCCCCGCACCTTCCCAGCCCCGCACTGACCTAGTGGCTCCCCAAAGTGGCCTGGTTTTCTCTTTCCCCTGCTGACCTCACACTCCTCTCCCCAAGTCCGTGCTGTGGCTCCCACCCTGATCCCCTATCTGCTGCCACAGGCCCCTGGCCCCCACCCCACAGTGTGCCTAGCGCGTCCTGAGGCCAGCTTCCTGTGCCTGCCCAGTTCCCTCCCGACCCTTCACGCCTTCAGCCTGCCTCAGTCTCCTGTGCCAACCCCATGAGCACTCGGTCTTGTGACCGTGCTCTGACCCCGCTTCTCTGGCAGACCTCATGACCCAGGCAACCTCTTGGCCCTATGCTGACTGCTGACCCTCAGTCCTGCAACTGTAGCCCCTTCCCAGACCCGTGACATTGCCGTAACCCAAGATCTTGGCCCACCATACTGACTCCATGACCCCTTGCTGCCCTCAGTGTGTGACCACTGTGTGGTCTTGCTCCTGGATGACTTGGAGCGGGCCAGTGCCCTCTTCCCTGCGATCCGCGAGCAGCTGAGCAGTATCAGTGCCGGCTCTGCAGCCTGGGCCCAGCTACACAGGCTGAATGCCTCCATCGCCGACCTGCAGGTAGTGTGCACCCCTGCCTTCGCTCAGCCCCTGCAGTGCAGCCCCCTCCTCCAGTGCGGCCCTCTCCTGCCTGGCCATGCAGATGCCCACCTCCATTCCCCACAGGCCCAGCTCCGGAGCCCTCTGGGCCCCAGATATGAGGCAGAGCAGCAGCTGCAGACCCTGGAGCAGCAGAGTGTGAACTTGGAGCAGGATGTACAGCGGCTGAGCGGCCAGGCAGGACCCTGAAGCCCCACCCCAAGTGCCCCTGAGGCGCCCCTCCCCCGGGACCCTCAAGCCTCCCCTGATCCCCAGGCCCTGGCCCCAGCCCCAGCTGTCCCCCACCTGCAGAGCTGTAGGTTGAAGGACTGCATCCACAGGCCACGGAGACCCAAGATCAGGCCAGCCAGCTGCTGAACGGTACCGAGGCCACGCTGGGCCGTGCACAGACGCTGCTGGTGACTGTCCAGGCTGTGGACCGTGCCCTGAGCGGTAGGGCTGACCCAGCCTGGCTGCTGCTCAGGCTCAGAGCAGGGAGGGCTGCCTGGGTGTGGGGGACACTCCCAGGGGTCTGCATCTTAAGCTTGGCCTCGAGAGCCTGCAGACCTGCGTGTTTAGATGGGAAGATGGTGGCTCAGGAGTCAACCGGGGGGCAGTTAGAGCTGGACAAGGGGCTAATCCTTAGCCCTGGGAAAGCACTGGTTAGGTAGTTGCACTGACACACTCTCAGGCCCACACTTGAGACCTGTGGCCTAGAGGAAATGAGAGTTCCCTGAGCTTATGGAGTAGCAGACCATGAGCCTACAGAGCAGGGCCCTGGGCCAGCCGGGGTGGAGGGGAGCTGAAGTCTCAGCTGAGTGCCGGCCAGTGAGCAGGACTGGGACAGCAAGGAAGGACAGGGAAGGCCACCAAGGGTCGGGAGCAGTGAGCAGCATGCTGGGGATGGGTTCAAGAGGGCAGCTGTGGCCCTTAGCCCGGAGACTATGGGTGCCACCAGGTGCCCTTGGGCTGCATGCTAGTGCCCTGCTAAAAACGTCCCAGGGCCCAGGCCCTGACAATTCCTTTTCCACAGAGCTGGGATCCCAGCTGGGCCACATCTCACCAGCCAACACATCGACTCCATCAGGCGAGCAGCTGCGCCGGGCGCTGGCGGAGGTGGACAGCTTCCTGCAGGAGATGCGGGCCCGTGACCTTGGGGCGCCCCGGGTGGTGGCAGAAACTGAGCTGGCCAAGGCCCTGAAGCGTGAGTGGTGGCTGCCCTATTGGGAGCCAGGCCTGTGTTGTGGTCACTGGAGCAGTAGCCAGCCTGCTTCTAGGGCAGGTGGGGCTGGCAGGGGCCAAGTGGGGACCGGGGTGAGGAAGGGTTCTGGTTGCCAGAGTAACTGCCCTTGCACCCTGCCGTTGGCCAGTGCTGGCCCGTGTGCAGGAGCAGCTGACCCACCGCTGGGAGGAGAATCAGGTGCTGGCTCAACGCACCCGCGAGAGGCTGGCTCAGCACGAGGCGGGCCTCATGGACCTGCGGGAGGCCCTGAACCAGGCGGTGGCCACCACCCGGGAGGCCGAGCAGCTCAACAACCGCAACCAGGAGCAGTTGGAGGAAGCTCTGGTGAGGGACTCTGTTTCTGCTCTGCCCGCCTCCTTACCCCATGACCCCTCTGCCAGTCCCGACCTCTGTGCTCATCCTCCCAACTCGCCTTCAGCAACGGAGGCAGGAGCTGTCCCGGGACAATGCCACCCTGAAGGCCGCTCTGGAGGCTGCCAGCCGCACCCTGGCCCGCGTCTCTGAGCTGCTGCGTGGCATGGACCAGGCCAAGGAGGTGAGCATAGTCTGCATCCCATCGGGCCCCTTCCTGACTAGCTCCCTCCCACATCTCCGGCTGTGGCTGGTTCTTCCGGCTGTGTGCGTGCAGAGTGCGGCCCCTGGGTCCCAGGTGTGGTAAACGGGGAGTGGGAGGGGGTCTCTTACTAGGCCTACCCACCTCCAGGACCTGGAGCACCTGGCAGCCAGCCTGGATGGGGCCCAGACCCCACTGCTGGAAAAGATCAGGGCCTTCTCCCCGGCTGGCAGCAAGCTGGACTTGGTGGAGACTGCTGAAGCCCATGCGGAGCAGCTGAACCAGCTGGCACTCAACCTGTCCAGGTGTGTGGGCCAAGGGGTACAGCCCAGGTCCCTGCTGGGTGCAGTCAGCCCAGGATGGGGCAGCTGGTCTGGGAGGGCTGCTTGGAAGGAGAAGCTATCAAAGGGGCCAGACTTTCCTCAGCCTCACAGGAAGTCGGGGCCCAGGCTGGCAGGCAGGGAGGCATGGGAAGGGCACACAAGGTGGCAGGCCAGGCCAGGGGTGTCTGGCTCCCTGCACCTGCATGTCTCTCACCCTCCCTCTGCTTTGCACAGCATCATCCTTGGGGTCAACCAGGACCGTTTCATCCAGAGGGCCGTGGAGGCTTCCAACGCCTATAGCAGCATCCTGAAGGCCATACAGGCTGCTGAGGACGCCGCTAAGCAGGCCTGGCAGCAGGCGAGCCATGCGTGGGAGGTGAGTCTGTGACCTCCCCAGGGTGTGGCGGGTGCCCGGTGCCTCCCCAGTGGTGTGAACTGCATCTTGTCCCCCTGTCTGCAGACCGTGGTGCAGCAGGCCCTGGTGCCTCGAGCCCAGCAGCTGCTGGCCAACAGCAGTGCTCTGGAGGAGGCTGTGCTCGGGCAGCAGCGGAGGTTGGACCTCGGTGAGTTCCGGGGCTCCTCGGGGACTCTGGGCCACGTCTGTGTGGGTTTTGTGGGTTGTTCCCGTGTGATTCGGGGCAGGAATGGAGCTGGCTGCCCTGTGTGTGAATTCTGTCAAGGGCTCTGCTCCCGGGCCCCGCAAAGGCTGGCCCCCTGGTTGGTGTTGCACCACGGGCTCCAGCCAGAGTGCCATCTCTGTCCATCCGTGTTCGCATGGCCTTAGCCTCCCGGGCTCAGAAGGCCTGGATGGGGCTCCTTCCCGCTGAGCCTGCCTCCCCCGCAGCTCGGGTCACCCTGCAGGGTGCCAGAACCCAGCTCCGGGACATCCAAGCCAAGAAGAACCAGCTGGTGGCCCAACTCCAAGAGGTGCAGGCCATGCTGGCCATGGACACAGGTATGTGAGGTTTGTCCTGCCTTCCCCGTGCTCCTTCGTCCCCACGGAGAGTGGACCCTTGGCCTGAGGTGGCACTCTAGCTGGCCAGCAGTATGGCTCTGTGACAGTGGACACGCTCACACCTGTGTCGTCGCAGTGCAGCGGTGGGCCACATGCAGCTTGAGGGTGGGGTTGGAGCATGTCCTGGGGGCCTCGGTTCTCAGGAAGGGACAGCTGCTCAGACACAGAGGCTGAGGTGGGGCCGGATGAGGACTTAGGGCAAGGGAAGTGGTCTGTCCAGCTCTGGAGGGTCCCTGTGGCTGCTGAGCGGCCTGGGCACTGGCAGCAGCCCAGGGGCTAGGAAGGTGGTCTGGGCAGGCATCCTCCCTCAGTGAGGGATGTCCAGTGGGTGCTGAGGGTCACTGAGCTGCCGGGTGAGAGCGGTACACGGGTTCCCACTCTGGTCCTTCGGCGGGTTCGGGAATGCAAAGACAGTGGTCTTCATCTGTCCCTTGCCAAGTGTACCCTGTGCCCGCTGCAGACGAGACGAGCAAGAAGATCGCCCATGCCAAGGCTGTGGCTGCTGAAGCCCAGGACACGGCTGCCCGAGTGCAGTCCCAGCTTCGGGACATGCAGAGGAGCCTGGAGCAGTGGCAGGGCCAGTTCGGAGCCCTGCGGGGTCAGGACCTGGGCCAGGCAGTGCTGGATGCGGGCCGCTCAGGTGAGCTGACGGTCCAGGGGCTTCTGGGGCAGGAGGTGGGCGGTGAGCGGTCAGCACAGCCCTGTGCCTGCAGTGTCCTCCCTGGAGAAGACGCTGCCACAGCTGCTGGCCAAGCTGAGCCTGCTGGAGAACCGCAGCGCGCACAACGCCAGCCTGGCCCTGTCCGCCAGCATCGGTCGCGTGCGGGAGCTCATCGCTCAGGCCCGGGGCGCTGCCAGCAAGGTGGGTGGGGCCGGGGGGACAACGGTGTCTGGGAGGCCAGGTGGTGAGCACTGATGGGCCTGCACCCCCAGGTCAGGGTGTCCATGAAGTTCAGTGGGCGTTCAGGGGTGCAGCTGCGCACCCCACGAGACCTCGCCGACCTGGCCGCCTACACCGCCCTCAAGTTCCACCTGCAGAGCTCTGAGCCGGCGCCAGAGCCTGGGCAGCAGGGCGGGGACCACTTTGTGCTGTACATGGGCAGCCGCCAGGTAAGGCAGGATGGGAGGATGTGGTGAACCGGCCATCAGGGTGGAAGTGGTGGTGTTTGGTCCCTGTCTAAAGTGTTCTGTTGCTGCTGCAGGCCACTGGGGACTACATGGGTGTGTCTCTGAGAAACCGGACGGTGCACTGGGTGTACCGGCTGGGGGCGGCCGGCCCTGTGACCCTCAGCATCGATGAGGACATCGGGGAGCAATTTGCCACCATCAACATCGACAGGTGGGAGCCGTCAGAGAGGCAGCACCCTCGCTGTGGGGTCCTGTCTACAGCTCACTCCGTACCTTTGCCTCTGCCCCCAGGACCCTCCAGTTTGGCCACATGTCCGTCACGGTGGAGGATCCAGCAGTCCAGGAGACTAAGGGGGATGCGGTGGCCCCTGGGGTGGAGGGACTGCTCAGCCTGCGGCCTGACGACTTTGTCTTCTACGTGGGCGGGTACCCCAGTGGCTTCACGGTGAGCCTGGCCCTGCCCGGGACAGTCTGGGAACGGCTGCAGCCCTGCCTCTTGCGTCCTGTCCTGCTCTGTCCTGCTGGTATGCCCTGGCTGGGTCGGAGGAGCCCTTACTGTTCACTGTGCCCACAGCCCCCTGCGCCCCTCCGCTTCCCTGGCTACCGGGGCTGCATTGAATTGGACACGCTGAATGAGGAGGTGGTCAGTCTGTACAACTTCGAGAGGACCTTCCGGCTGGACACAGCTGTGGACAGGCCTTGTGCCCGGTACGTACATACATACAGCCCAGCCCCGCCTGCCCCCCACCTTCCCCACTGACCCGGAAACTGTCACCTGCAGCTCCAAGTCCACAGGGGACCCGTGGCTCACGGATGGCTCTTTCCTGGATGGCACTGGCTTTGCCCGCATCAGCTTTGAGAGGCAGCTGACCACCACCAAGCGCTTCGACCAGGAGCTGCGGCTCGTGTCCTACAACGGCATCATCTTCTTCCTGAAGCACCAGGCACGGCCCTGGCGCCCGCGCACCCACCCACCGCCCCAGCCTCACCCCGTGCTGACCCTGGCCCGTCCTTGTCCCCTAGGGCCAGTTCCTGTGCCTGGCAATGCTCAAAGGCAACCTCGTGCTCCTGTACGACCTTGGCACGGGTCTGAAGGAGGCTCCTCCCCTGCAGCCGCCTCCTCCCCTGACCACGGCCAGCAAGGCGGTGAGTCTGCACCTAAGGGTCAGGGAGGCCCTGCGGCTGCAGCGTGGCCTGAAGCCTCCGCCGTGCCCCGCAGATCCAGGTGTTCCTGCTGGCCGGCAGCCGAGAGCGCATACTGGTGCGCGTGGACAGGACCACAGTGTTCAGCGTGGAGCAGAGCAACACGCTGGACATGGCCAGCGCCTACTACCTGGGAGGGGTGCCGCCTGAGCAACTGCCGTCAAGGTGAGGGAGCAGTGCTTGGCAGCGGCACCCAGGGTGGCCGGGCAGGGCTGGGGGTGGGGGGACTGACCACGCCCCTGGCCCTTGCAGCCTGCGCAGACTCTTCCCCTCCGGGGGCTCCATCCGTGGCTGCATCAAGGGGATCAAAGCTCTGGGCAAATACGTGGACCTCAAGAGGCTGAACACCACAGGCGTCAGCGCTGGCTGCACGGCAGACCTGCTGGTGAGCCACCCACCGTGCAGCCTGGGCAGGGCACCGTCCTCTCCTGGAGAGGTTGGCACTCAAGGCCCCCCCCTGCAGGTGGGGCGCACCGTGACTTTCCATGGCCATGGCTTCCTGCCTCTGGCGCTCCCCGATGTGGCACCCCTCACCGGCGACATCTACTCTGGCATTGGCTTCCGCAGCACCCAGGACAGTGGTCTGCTCTACCACCGAGCGTCCCTGGTGAGGCCACCACGCCCACCACCCGCAGCCCTCCCCGGGCCCTGGTCCCACCTGATGCGGGCTGCTGCTTGCTCACTGTAGTAACAGTCTGGGGGCCTAAGTGGCGGGAGGGAGAGAGGGAGTCTGGGCTCTCAGCCTGCCCAGCTGACCTGGCCACTGTCCCCAGGATGGGCTGTGCCAGGTGTCCCTGCAGCAAGGCCACGTGACATTGCGGCTTATGAGGACAGAGCTGAAGACACGAGCGGTCTTCAACGATGGTGCCCCCCACTACGCTGCCTTCTATAGCAATGCCACAGGGTGAGCCCTGCCTACCCCGCCTCGCTACTGGGGCCCAGCTGGCCCTATAGGCCGAGGCAGGCAGGGCTGGGGAATGACTGCCCTTGTGCCTCCAGGGTCTGGCTGTATGTGGACGACCAGCTACAGCAGACAAGGCCTCACCGGGGGCCACCTCCCAGGCAGCAACCCCCGACTGAGGAGCCCCCACAGCTCCTCCTGGGGGGCCTGTCTGAGTCCGCCTCCTCCTTCCGCAACTTCAGCGGCTGCATCAGCAATGTCTTTGTCCAGCGGTGAGTAACGGGCGTGCGCGGTGAGGTCCCCGTTGACCCGAGGCCACTGCCGACTGACCTCCTAGCCTCCTCCAGGCTCCAGGGGCCGCAGCGAGTGTTTGACCTGCAGCAGAACCTGGGCAGCGTCAACGTGAGCACCGGCTGTGCCCTGGGCCTGCACAGCCAGTCCCCGGGGCCGGAAGCTCAAGGGCTGCGGGCTGTGGCTCGGAAGGTGAGGCCCGGGTGCTGCGGGGCCGAGCTGGGGTGGGTGGAAGGGCAGCCCTCGCAGGTGCCCTCGTCGGTCCCATCCCATTCTGTCCCGTCCTGTCCCTCCAGAGCTCCCGCCGCAGCCGCCAGCCTAGCCAGGACCCTGCGTGCACGCCACCTCTGCAGCTCAACGTGACCCGAGATGCCTTCCAGCTTGGGGGTCCCCGTCCCAGTCACCTGGAGTTTGCAGACCTCCTGGACCCCCGCAGGGACCGGTAAGGCGCAGCCAGGCCCGGCTGGTTTGCAGGGGCCACTGAGGCTGACCCTGTGCTTGGCTTCCAGGTTTCAGCTCTCCATGCTTGCCCGCCCTCACGCCCTCCACGGCCTCCTGCTCTTCGCTGCGCCGCTGGCAGCCAGCAGCCCCTCCCTGGCTGTCTTCCTGAGCCACGGGCGGTTTGTCGCACAGACCGGAGGGCCTGAACCCCACCTTCGTGTCCAGAGCCGCCAGCGTGCGCGGGCTGGCAAGTGGCACACAGTGAGGAGCCAGGGCCAGGATGCGGGTGGGGCGGGCGGGGCCCTGGGTGCACCCTGCTGAGCTGCTCCTCGGCCCTCGTCCCCAGGTCTCTGTGCGCTGGGAGAAGGGTCAGCTCCAGCTCCTCACAGATGGGGTCCAGGCCTGGAGCCGCGAGTGGCCCCGCCATCGGGCCGGGAGGGCAGAGGGCCTGCGGCCCCACACCCTCTTTGTGGGGGGCCTCCCGGCCGCCAGCCACAGCTCCCACCTGCCGGTGAGGACCCTCCTGCCCCGCCCAGCCCCACCGGCCTGGTGCTGTCCCCCCCACCAGTGACCCCAGCCATTTGTCCCACAGGTGACTGTCGGATTCAGTGGCTGTGTGAAGAGACTGCAGTTGGACGGGCGGCCCTTGGGGGCCCCCACTCGGATGGTGGGGGTCACGCCCTGTACCCCAGGCCCCCTGGAACATGGCCTGTTTTTCCCCGACAGTGGAGGAGTTGTCACCCTAGGTCTGGGGGCAGGGGAGGGGCTCTGGGAGGTTGTGCCCGGCTGGGCCCTCCACTCTGACCAGGGCTCCTCCACACAGAACCCCTGGGGGCCACCCTGCCCCACGTGAGCCTGGAGCTGGAGGTGCGGCCCCTGGCAGCCACTGGGCTGATCTTCCACCTGGGCCAGGCCCAGGGCCCCCCCTACCTGAAGCTACAGATGTTCAAGAAGCAGGTGAACAGGGTGTGGTACCAGAGCAGGGGTCCCCAACTCTGGTGACTGGGGTGACAGGCCTGACCCTCCCCCACCTCAGGTCTTGCTGCGAGCAGATGACGGGGCAGGTGAATTTTCCACGTGGGTGACACGCCCTGCAGCACTGTGTGATGGGCAGTGGCACCGACTAGCTGGTGAGTGGGTCCCTTCCTGTGCCCAAGGGCGGGCAGCTGGGGTGGGGGACTCGGCAGGGGCAGCCTCAGCCCCCGCACCATAGCTCGCCTGCGGGACTGGCTGGGCTGGGAGCACCCATGAAAGTCTCCTGCAGCCAACAAGGGCAGGGACGTGCTCCGGCTGGAGGTCGACACACAGAGCAACCACACCATGGGCCCCACGGCATCAGCTGTAGCTGACAGCCCAGCACCTCTGCATCTGGGGGGCCTGCCTGGTGAGTGGCCTCGGTCCAGGTGGGGGACGCACTTGGCACTGGGTAGACCTGCTCCCAGCCCACCGCCTCAGTAAAGGCAGCTGAGACAGGAAGGATCCACCCTCATCGGTCCTGTCCTCTCTGCATCCCCAGAGACCATGGCTACAGAGTCTGAGCTCCCTGCCTTCCGGGGCTGCATGAGGAAGCTGGTGGTGAACCGGACCCCCGTCACTGTGACTCACTCTGCAGGCGTCCAGGGGGCAGTCGGGGCCAGTGGCTGCCCGGTCACATAGTGTGGCCAGCGGGCCCTCCAGCAACTTTTCTGACAGGCAGGTGCAGTGGCAGGACCGGCTGACCACACCCAAGCGCCTTAGGCCTCATGCACTTCCACATTCAGTAGTTTCATAGGCACATTGTGGGTATTTATCTATAGATTCTCCGGGTGACAGGTCTTATTTCTGGAAATGGATTAAATTATCTTTTTAAATGAAAGGGTAGAATACTGTAAAATGGGTTTTATACTTTTACCTCCCTCCCACAAATTTTTAAGCAGTTTGAGATGTGTAACATCACTGGTTCCTTCAAGACAAAAATTAAAAAGTATTCTGTTTGCGTGTGTCAGCCTAAGAGATTCACAGGTGGGGCTAAGCGTCCACCCGACCTGGCCGAGTCAGAAGGCAGTGGGAACTGGGTGCGACCATCGGCCTCCCATGCAGGGGACAAAGAAAGACCAGAGGTGGCAGGTAAAAGAAAGGACTTTTATTTATTAGTCGGAACAGGATCAGGATAGGCAGCAAATCACAACCGCTACAGAGTCACGTGACTAAGAATTCAGTTCCTTAAACGGCATCAAATAACTTAATCGAGACTCATATCTTCTTCTTCGTCTTTCTTGTCTTTTGCATCGCCCTCTTTCTGCTCAGATTTGGCATTGTTCTGCATAGCTTTGGCAAATGCTTCCACATCTGAAACACATTTAAAACACCACTGAACCCTTGCCCAGGGGCTGCTGCTCAAAGGGGACAGGAGGTCAGAGCCAGAGGGGACAGGGCTGGCACTTACCGCCCTTGTTGGCGGCCTCCACCGCCTCTGCAGGCAGCCCGAACTGGCACATGAGGGGGCCCAGCTGCCCCGAAGCCAAGGCTGCACTGAACATGCCCAGGGCCTGCAAGAAGAGCCACATGCCGAAGCTAAATGCTGGGGGCACCAGCAGCCCCGGCACAGCCCAGAGACCCTGCCAGGATGTGGGCAATGCCTGAGCGCTGGCTTGCCATGTGCCAATGTCACAGGTGCACGCAGCACACTGAGGCGGGCAGGGGTCCTCCCCTACCTGCTGGAACTGAGGGGAAGTCAGCGTGTTCTGGATCTCGTCTGCGGTCTGGGGCAGTGACTCCCCCGATGGCAGGTAGGGCAACAGGCGCTCCTGGACGTCTGCGTTGGCAAGGATGGGAGCCATGATCTCTGGCGTCAGCACACTGGCCAGGTCCACTAGGGCACAAGCACACAGCCATCAGCAGCTGGGCGCTAGCCCAGGCAGGAACACAGTGTGAGGTGCAGAGTGGGGCCTCCACAGGGCAGCAAGCGGGGACTTGCTCGGCCCAGTGCCTCAGAGCCAGGAAGCAGACACAAAGGGGCGCCCCGCCCACCCTCTGCGTGCCCTTTACCTTGCTGGCCGCCTCCTGGCCCGGCTGGCACATTCATAGTGGCCAGGATGCTCTGGAGGTCGCTCAGCTGGATGGGCTGGGTTGGGCTGGCTGCCGTGCTGGTTCCGTTACCTGAACTGGGCGCAGGACTCGGGCTGGTCGCTGAGGCAGCTGCTGGGGCAGAAGGGGCTGGGGTGGCGCGGGCAGAAGAGGTGGTAGAGGATGGGGTGACCGCTGCCGACTGGCTCCGGGAGCTGGGAAGAGCGAGGGCACTGCTAGAGCAGCGAGGCTCCCACCAGGTGCCTGTTCCACGAGGGCGACTGACGGTGAGGGCACGGGCTCCAAGGAGCAGGCGCAGCCACGAGGACCCTCGCCCGAGCCTACTCCGTCCACCCCATCTGCTTTGCGGGGCTGTGGAAGCGGGGACAGTGGCTGACAGGAGATGCCTGTGTGGCAGGCCGGGTGCTGTGGGCTCACCTGGACGAAGAGCTGCTCGCCGGAGGCCCGCCGCTCCCCAGTAAACTGGCCAGGCCTGGTCCAGTCAGGGCCCCAAGCCCACCTAAGCAGCAAGGACACGTGTGCTGAGGGCATTGCATGACCCTGCCCACATGCGCAGGGAAGGAAGTAAACATGGGAGGCAGTCTCAGGAAGCAGTGGTGATGTTCCAATCCCAGTCAAGGTTTATTCTGCTGAGCCAGACCACTTCTGTCCTATCCCACTGCACTACCACATTCAGGCCAAATCCTGGCCAATGTACCAGCTGCTTCCTAAGGGTCCAGCATATGTACCTGCACCACACCACGAGCTGTTGGTGGCAGGCCAACCTGGGAACCCCGGGCAGAAGCCCAGAGCTCATACCCTCCAGTCCTGCCCTCAGCAAGCTGCGCCCCTGAATATGAGCTGGGGTCCCCCCAGGGGCCTGGAGAGCCCCTGCCCCCAGCCATGGATGCACAGGGAATACACGCAGAGGCTGCTCAGCCAGCACCAACAAACACTTCAAGGAAACACTGGGTTCAAATGCAAGCACAGGGGCTGGGGATGTAGCTCAGTGGTTCTGCCACCTGCCTCGCAAGCGCAAGGACCCAAATTCGATCCCCAGTACCAAAAAAACCAAAACAAGAAACAAATGCAGGCACAGGGAAGAAGCCTGCTTCTGAAAACCAGGATGCGGCCTTACCCAGCCCTCCAAGGCCAGCCGGTCCGATGAGCTGCATGAGCTGGCTGTGACTCATGTTCCCCAGCAGGCTCTGCAGGCTGCCCTCACCTGGAAAACACAGGGCTCAGTCAGGGCCTCCTGTGGCCTGGGCCGCCTGTGCAGGTACCATGGTTCACAGGGAAGACACCAGGCCCCATAACTAAACAGGGAGCAGCACCAGACAAGAGGCAGCGGGGCCGAGCGTGTCTCACCCAATGAAGGCTAGAACTGCAAACAGGGGCTCTAATTTATCATCTGCTAGGTGCTTAGAAAACACTGGCCTACACTACCAAGCCCAAGGCAACTGTTACCGCCCAGTGCGGAGAGCTCGTGGCCTCCACTTCCACTCGCCCCCAGTGCCCCAGGCATCGGCGGGTTGTTCAGATACTCGTTGACCTTCCGGCAGTGCTCCTCGTCCTGATCAGTCTTGGGCTCCTGCAGGGAGACAAGAGAAGAGCCCCAGCTGAGCAGCCCACATGAGGCACTGGCTTCTGAGGGCTTGCTGCTGCCCGGTCACAGGGCTCTCAGCACGGCCCAGAGCAGACAGGACCAGCCCAGATGGTTGACAGGGCTGCAGCAGCACCTGAGCACTCTGCCATCCCCACCGGCTGCGATCACAGGTGCTGGATGGCATCTACTGCACCATGGGAAGGGCAGGGCTCAGAGCCACCAGGCCAAGCCCTCTCCCCTTAGCAGTCTCCTATCCTCTACCAGTGATCACAACCCACGTCACACCTCTGCCCAAGGGGGGAATGGGGCCCCCAGACAGCTCAGCCCACAGGTCCCCCAGAACCCACAACATCCGTGAGCACCTGCTATGAACCCTGACGGATTCAGGGTACACAATCCCTGCTGCCTTCCTGGCAAAGGGGCAAGAAAAGCATTAAATAAGCAAAACCAGGAAAAATAAAGAGGTAGAAGGAGATGAAAGTTCAACAGCATAGTAGAACTAGAGCAGGTGGCAAACCACGCCCACTCCCGTTTGTAAATAAGTTTACTGGGACTCAGCCAGGCCCATCACACTGTAAGGTCCTCAGCTGCTTTCCCCTTAGTGTTGGGGGCAGGCAGCAGGCCAACATCTGCAGAGGAACTGAAGCAACATCTCTCCAGACTGCAAACGCGTGTGTACATGCTTCTGAGTGCACATACCACTTGTGGCTTTAACCTACAAGTAGCAAGCTCATGCCCAGGGAAGACCCATGTCCTGGGGCATTCACTGCCACACTGCCTGTGCAGGTGCAAGAAAGAAACATGCCTGATGGCCACGAACAAGTGGCAGAGTGAGTAGTGGCTCCCAGAAGCATCTATGGTAAGAGGGGCCTGCAGTGACTCACAGGCCTCCAGCACACACTGTGAAGGAGTCTGGGGAGGATGCTCCATGTAAGAACACAGCAAGAAGACCCTGCCCCCAAGGTTACCCCCGCCTCTGCTCTGGGGCCTCAGGAACCCACCGGGAGGGGGGAGAGGTGGACGTGGGAACTAGAAGCAGTGAAACCACTGTCGACACCTCAGTAAGGCAGGCGCGCACCTGGAAAGGCACCTGGACCCCAGGCATGTGCCTCAGACAGGCAAGGGAGTCCCCTCCCACTCCCTACATCCCGGGCACACCAGGTCAGCACAGCTATGTGCCAAAACCAATTCTACCCCGGGTACACTGGATTGCATGAAGGCAAAAAACCTAAAACGCAAAGCAAACCCTCCCATGTACCTGCATCCAAAAGAAGAGCCGCTTGGACCCTGCCTTGAACTTGAGCACGTAGACCCTCCCACTGGGGCACTGAGGCACACGCTTGAACTCACAGTCATCGGGGAATATAATCAGGTCCTGACAACCCCAAGAACAGAAGTCAGCCTCGTGCGCACACGCGCTGCCAGGCCCCTGGCTCTCAGAAAATCTCTGGAGCCCGAGTCTCAGGCTACACAGACATGGCAGTCACCAGTCGGTCCCCACAGGTGCCAGGTCATGGTCAGACTCTCTGAGGAGAAGGGCAGACCCTACGGGACGCTCAGGAGAGGGGCCGGGGTGCCATCAGCTCTTACAAGACTTTAACAGAGACATTTTGAAAGCAGCTCTCCAGGATGAGGTAAAAGTCAACTGATTTCCTCTCAAGTGGAACAGAGAGCAAAGAACTCGAAAGAAAAGTGATAATAAAGCTTTCTCTTGCTGAGGGCTGTGATGAAGGTCAGGACTTCGACACAACTTCTGCAATGGCAGTCGGGTAAGATTTCTCAGACCAGGGACACGGACTGACAAACGCCTTCAGCTAGTTTTGCCATCCAGTGAGCATAATGTCACTAGGTGCTAAATCTTTTGGACTACGGTCATGGCACAACACATGCCTACAGGGGTGGGAGCGTCTCTGTCATCCATGAGACCAGCTGCACACCAACCAGCTGATCACAGTACCCCGCTGCAGTCCCCGCGAACCCCAAGTCCCTGCAACATGGGAAGCCTCAGGTGCACGTCAGAGAGCAGCAAGACGCCCTCCCAGCCTATCGGACTGCCTCACCGGGCCACCTTTTGGGTTAACAGGCACTCACGTCCTCCACGGTCCCAGAGGTCCTATCTTTCCAGCAGAAGTGAATGAGCGAGTCGTCCGTTTGCTGGATGTACACGAGCCCTTTCCGTTTATCCGGGGTGACTGTAGTTCCTTTTAATGACATTTTGCCCGCCCGGAACTCTACCAGATACTTGTTGGAGGAGCCCCGAGAGCCAGGCACCAGGCTTGGGAAGAGAGCGCCTGAAGTCGTCATCCTGAAAGAGCAGAGGTGCTCTGAGACCGGGCGCTGCCGTGGGCACTATCGCCGAAAGCCTGATTCCCCCTGGGACGGGGCGCCAGTGCCAGGGCTGCCCGCGGGCCAGACTGCCCAGTCCGCAGGGCGCGCGGCCGGCGGCTAAGGCCGGGCTCCCCTGCCCCTGCCCCTGCCCTTCCCTGCATACTCCTTAACCGCGCCAGCACCTCTGGCTCCCGAGCCTCGCCGACGTCACTGTGCGCACTCGCGACGCCTCTCGCGTTCAAGCCCGGCTGGGCCGGAGGGAGCCCGGCGCAAGAAGCGGCTGACAGCGTCTCCGCGGGGCGCCGCCTCGGGGCGCCCTCGCTCGGCTTCCGCGGCCGCCCACCCGCCCGCCCGCCCGCCGAGCCCTTGCCGGCGTCCTCGGGCCGTGCCGGGCGAGGAAGCACTGGAGAGCCCCGAGGACACTGCCCGCCGCCCGGTGGCCCTGAGCCCGGCCACGAACCTGTCTGCCCCCACACTCGGCTGAGAGACGCTGTCCAGGCTCGCTCTTCCTTCTCGGCGCCTGCCGGGCCCCGCCGGAAACCCGCGCTCGGCCCGCCTCGTCCGCCGTTCTCGCTACCGATTGGGCCTCGTCAGCCCCGCGGCCAGCCCCGTCCCGCCCTCGATTGGCCTGCGTGGCCGCCCATCGCGCCTACTCGACTACGGCCCACCCCCGCGCCGGCGGCTCCCTTCCGGCGGAAGCGCGGATCCGCAGCGCGCGGGCCAGAGCGGCCCCTATTGTTTGCTGTGTCATCGGGGAGCGGCGACGGCCCCTGGCGGCGGCGGCGGCGGTGGCGGCAGCACTCAGCCCTCGGCCGAGAAGACCACCGAGCGTTGCGGGCGGGGGGGGGGGGTAGGCCCGGCGTGCCCGGGCTTCGGCTGTGGTGGGCCCCAGGGCCGTGTCCCCGCCGGGCACCCGCCCGAGCCCGTAGGAAGCCAGCCTTTCTGACGTTCGCTATCCCCGCGCCAGGTGCCAGGGCGAGGTAGAGCCTGCAGTCAGAGGTTGCAAGGTAGGATTGAGTCTTACGAGCTAGGAGCTAGGAAAGCAGCGGCGGCTCCGAGTCAGCGAGAGTTCATTTGACCCCAGGGAAAGCCACGGCAGTGGGAGACGGCGCGGGAGCGCCAGCCCGATCGCGTATGCTTGCGGGCGCGGGGTCCCCGGAGGTCGCTCCCTGCCTCCGGCCGCTCCGCGCCTTGCCGCACCGCGCAGGACGCTGCTGGCCTTCCCCCCCCCCCCCGCGCGCTCCCAGGGTGTCCAGAGTTGGGGCCCCCGCGCTGGCCCAGCTGCCTTCCACTGAGCCGCACTGGATCCTGCAGAAGTGCAACACTGCTCCGGGTCCTTCTCGTTCTTTGGCCCATCTTTTACATTTCTTTTTTTCAGATGTGACAGTTTTAGGGAATTAAAAAACAATACACACGTAGTGGGCCCATGCCCTCCCCAGCCCCCATTTATCTCCACCTCTCTCCCCCTCCCCAGAGCCAAGCTATTGTGAATCTGTGTGGCTTCCCCGTGCTTGCTTCGTAATTCACTAGGTATACACGAAATTTGTGTGTTCCTTAGTTTTCACAAAAGTACAGAAGTATTTTTTCACTCAGCATTGCTTTCAAGAAGTGTTCATGCTGACACAGTAGCGCTAACACTCATTTTAGCTCCTTGTAATACTATAATGTGGAACGTTTTGCACTTTGTTTACCTGTTGATTTCTCGGTGGACACTGTCCTATTTAGTTTTCATCTTTTCACTATTATAATGCTTCAATTTTAAAAATTTAGTTTGATTTAAAAATTCACCCTGGGAAAATGTAGCTGTTTTTCATTACAATGTTTGTTTTCTGCAATGCTGGGAATTGAACCTAGGGCCTCACCCATGTTAGGCAAGTCCTCTACCACTGAGCTACACCCCAGCCCTAATTTTTTTTTTTTTTTTTGGTACCAGGGATCGAACTCGGGTCCTTGAACCCTATTTTTAATCAATATTTTTTAAATGTGTTTCTCTTAATTCCTAACAGGTAAATATCGATACATTATGCCTACATTCTGAAAAGCTCCTTGGGGTTCCAGGGTCCGTGTTCTACCACTGAGCTACACTCCCAGCTTCAATAGTTTTTAAGAATCCAAAAGCTTCCAAAGGACAGGTGGGGTGAGTGTGGCCAACACACAGCCTCGCTGTAATTATTGACCGTTGCTACTGATGTAGCCCCGTAGGCTGTGCTGCAGACATGTCCCATGAAAGGAGGAGGGGAAATAAAACCCAGCCTGTTTTGTTTGTTTTTTTGTTTTTTGGTACCGGGGATGGAACTTGGGACCTTGCGCTTTCAAGGCAGGCAGCGGAACCACTGAGCTACATCCCCGGCCCCCAGCCTGGTTTTTAGGCAAGCTGCACTTGTTTTGTTTTTAGGCAGGTGTCACTTGTTCAAAGTAATGAAATGTTAAAAAAGCTGCCGGTAGAGGCCATGGGAGACCCACTCTTCAGAACCCATACATGCTTCCTCCAAGGCCTTGCACTCAGCACTTCCTCCACGTAAACCAGGGGAGCCTTGTAGCCTGAGGTGGCTCAGAAAGAGCAGAATTTCTTCTGCATTCCAAGGGATGCTTCCTGTGCTTTGCTGCGGTAGGCAGGCATTGTGCGGCCGGGCTGGGTGTCCATTCCCATCTGCAGGGCTGGTGGAGGGCTCCAGTGTAGCCTGCACAGAACACCTGTCACACAGCCACGGGAGCTCAGCACTCAGTCCCCGGCTGTGGCACAGCCAGGAATTGTGCACCGTGACGCACATAGGAGGGATCTGAGAGGAGCCTGGCAGCAGCTACTCAAACACTGACCTGGCCTGTGCTAAGCTGGAGGGTGGCATCTGCAAAATGTCTTCAGCTTCTCAGCCATGGGCGTGGGATGAACCAGTTAGATTCTCCAAGGGCAGTTGTTTCTACTAATCCTGTTTAACAAAGAATCAAAATCAAAAAGGGCTGAGAAAAAAAGGGCTGGGCTGTAGCTCAGTGACCACTTGTCTTGCAAGCATGAGGTCCTGGTTTAACCCCTAGCACTGCAGAAACACCAACTACAAAACTGACTGCAGAGAGAACAAATCTGGCCGCTCTCCAGGTCCCAGATGGAAGGAGGCCATGGAGGCTCGAGGGCCCCAGGCACAGAAGCAAAGTGGCCCTTGGTGTGGCCAGGGCGTTCCCCAGGAGGGTTCCCCAGATGGCAGAGGTGCACCGGAAAAGCTGCTCACACCATTATTCCTGAGGGAAATGCAAATTAAAACTCACTCTTTAGAATGGTTAAAGCAAAGTGGCCCTTGGTGTGGCCAGGGCGTTCCCCAGGAGGGTTCCCCAGATGGCAGAGATGCACCGGAGAAGCTGCTCACACCGTTATTCCTTAGGGAAATGCAAATTAAAACTCACTCTTTAGAATGGTTAAAGAAAAACAAATGGCAATACCAGGTGCTAAGGGAAGGAAACAAAATGGTGCATCTGGGAAAAGCTCAGTAGGTGTGCATTTTTTCCTAACTTTTCTATTAATAGACAATTTTTGAAGCAATTTTTGGTCCACAGTAAAACTGAACAAAAAGTACAGGCAGTTGCTGCCCCAACCCTCCCCCATGCCCACCCTTCCAGCATTTGTCACAGCCGATGAACTTTCCGGACCCAAGTCCAGAGTTTAGTAATAGCAGCACTCGTATTTTGTGCTGCTGTAACAGAACAGCACAGACAGTGGGATTTACACAGAACAGGAGCTCTTCTCAGTTCTGGAGGCTGAAGTCCAAGGTCATGATGCTGGTGCCTGTCAGCTGTGTCTTCACCTTGCAAGGCAAGGGCGCTGCAGGATGCCTCTCTCCATCAGGGCCTTGGCCCCTGCAGAGGCAGGAGCTCACCTCCCAGAGGCCTGTCCTCGGTACCGTCACCCTGGCAGTTAAGGTCCAGCACCTGCATTTTAGAGAGGGACATTTCAGACCGCAGCACTGTTGTACCATGGGCTTTGGCAAATAACGTACCCACAATTCCAGCAGCAGAGTCCACTGCGCTCAGAAGCTTCTGTGCTCTCCCTATTCTGACTCCCCACCCTTAATCCCTCTGTCTTCTAGAATGTCATATAATTGGAATCATAGGACACAGCCTTTTCAGATTGGCTTCTCACTTAATTCACATCTGAGATCCATGCTGTCTTACGGCTTGAAAGCTCATTTCTTTTTAGCACCAAGTACTCGTCTGTTGTCTGGATGCATCAGTTGTCTGTCCACCTACTGAAGATGTCTTCCCTTGTGTTCAGGTTTTTGTGATTATTCATAAAGCTGCCGTAAACATGTGTGCAGGCTTTTGTGTGGACAGGAGTTTCAGCTCATTTAGGTAAATACTAAAGCTCAACTACTAGATCATATGATAGGGTATGTTTAGTTTTGTCAGAAACTCTTCCAAAGAAGGCAGTGCTGAGAGCTTCGGTGGCTTCACAGCCCCGCCAGCACTTGGCGGTAATGTGTTCTAGACTTTGGTCATGGACAGGTACAAGGTGGTACCTTTTTTTTTTTTGTACCAGGGATTGAACTCAGGACCCTGCATTTGCAAGGCAGGAGTGGCACCACTGAGCTAAATCCCCAGCCCTCAGTGGACTTTGTTTTAATTTGCAGTTTCCTAATGACCTGTGAGGTGAGCACTTCCTAGGCCTGTTTGCCAACCGTGCATCTCCTTTGGTGAGGTGGCAATGTTGAGCTTGATTTTTATAAACAGAACTACCATGTGACCCAGCTAGTATCCACTGTTTACCCAAGAGAAATGAAAATAGATGTCTACACAAAAACCTGTACACAAATGCCTGTAGTGATTTTCATAAATGCACCAAATTTGAAACAACTCAAACATTCACCAACTGGTGAAGAAACAGTGAAACACATTATTTAACGCTCAGCAATGAGAAGGAGCGAACTGCTGACTCTTCCTCCTAGGAGTGAACGCATTATTCTGCATGAAAACAGCCCAACCGTAGGGAAGGGTGGAGCCACAGGGACAAAAGGCAGACCAGGGTGACCAGGAGCTGGGGGAAGCCTGGCTACAAAGGAGTGCCCATGGGGTCCACATGTGGGCTGTGGCAGGGGTTACTGGACAGCATGAACCAGCCGGAATTCACCCCGCTGCTGCTGGAAAGGGTTTGAGGAAGAGTGTGGAACCCTCTCCCCACCAAGCAGCTTCAAGCCTTGGTACCTGAACTTCCTCCTCAGGGGCCAAACTGAGGGCAGCTGGAACATGAAGCACCTAACAAGCCAGTGCCAGCAGGTGAGCATTCCTCGGACCCCTCTGCGGAGCACCTGAGGGCACAGAAGCTCAGGACTGCCTGTCCCTCTGCCAGAGCCCGGCAACCACCATACAACTGCCCTGCCCGCTCACGTCCTGGCAGCACATAGCTGCTGGGTGCTTAGGGCAGAAGCTGGCAGTGGGACCGTGCCAGCCAAACTGACTGCATCTTTCAGGTATTTTGCTTCCTCTAGCAGCGCTTAGTCCCCAGAAAAGGGATGTTAATCAGCTGCTGCTGCTCAGAACACCTAGACCCTCCATCCCTCAGACGTGCCATCCAGAGGTGTTACAAGTGCCCTGTAATCCCCTCTCCATGACCAGCACTCGGAGAAACAATCCACTTGCTAGGCCAATCCTCCTGGTACAAAGACTTGTTTGTAGCCAACTGTAACCCTTTACAGAAAGGCCAGAGCCTTTGAGACAGTAAAAAATTGTTCAGTGTAACACAAGTGTCAATTACAACCCATTTCTCATTCAGAAATAGAAGGCAACATTTATATTCACAGATCTGTGTATACTCTTCCCAAAACCCCTAAGGATAGATTCTGCTCATATATACAGTATATGGGTATCGATGGTTATTAAATATAAGAATAAATGCATTTTGCTAACACGTCTTCTTGCCTGACATTTTCAGGCCACATGGCCAGAATGGTGTTGATGAAGGGCCCGCCACACACAAACAGTTGGTGAGGAAGGCCAGACACAAGCCTAGGCACATGGGCCACAGAGTACCCCTCTGCACACTGGCCGCTCAGAGGGACAGGGGCTGCTGAGGGCAGAGCATCAGGTAAAGGATGACCACCCTGTCATCTCGCACCAAGAGATAAGGAAATCCGTTAGCCCCTGGCAGAAACCGCACACCAAGCACACAGCTGAGAGGACCATCTCCTCTAAGGGGTACTGAGGGAGACACTAGTTCACGTGCTGTCCAGAAAAGCACACGACCCTCCACGAGAAGTACACAGGTGTCCTGTTCGAATTATCTGCCATTTCAACATCTCTTGGAAAGGTGCCAATATAATAAAGCTTCAGATGTATCCGAAAGCCACCCAGCACCCCCATTCCGGGATCAGGAGCGGACGCAGAGACCAGGCCAGGGCTGAGGTGTCTCTCGGGAGTAGGGCACTTGCCTGGGCTCAGTCCCTAGGACCGAAAGACAGAGACTGCAGGCCCCAGGATGCCAGATGCAACCACAGCACCCTCATTTCTAGCTTCTAAGGCTACAAAATCAAGCTTTTGAAACCAGTGAGGGCTTTGGAAGTGTTTTAATTACAAAGGTGGCTCTGAAGCCTGGACACAGTGATGACACTCATTCACAAGTGCCTGAGTCGGTAACCCACACTACACAACTGCCCGGGTATGTGTGCGCACACGTGTGTGGGTATGCCCACAGCAGGCTGTCTCATGCAAAGAGCTCTACTGTGATCTGTGGTGTCAACATTTCTACATCAAGTCTGTCACTCACAGAAGAATGCCGAGATGGACACACACCTACTTGTGGTTAAACAACTTTAATTGACGCCAGATATGCAGCTCCTGCTCTGACCTCCCACAGCACACAACTCCACATGACTCTCAGTGGGACATGCATGCCAGGAAAACAGAAACACAAGACGACACAGGCGAGGTGAGTGGAGAAATGACCAGCTCGGAGAACATGGGTGTGGTCCATGGGGACAGCAGAGCCTCGGGGGACAGTGGGAGTGCCACGGCCAGAGGCAGGGCTCCGTGAGGCAGCCTTGGGTGTGTCTCATCTGAGTCTTTCCGTTTCTGCCACCCAGCTCTTCCCAGGAGCTTGTTTGGACAGTACACACTGGTGATTAATGTTTCCTGGCAAATACCATCCAAGTAGTTTTACCTTAAATATTTTAAAAGTAATCTTTACTCAAGATTGGTAAAAAATACAGAATCTGACAGCTTTTCACTTCATTCCCTTGGTGCTCTGGAGACCTCTTCTCGTCACCATGATCTGGAAAGCACTCCTTGGCCTGACTGTTCTTTTCAAGATCCGCCTTCCTTCCTTCCTGGTCTGGGTTTGAAACACCTTCAGAAACCACAGGCCACAGCCTTGTGAGGAGCACACGGCCCCTCCTGCTTCTCCCTGTAGTTACAGAGCCTCTAACTTCGAGCCCTGCGAGCCTGGCCAGCCCCACCAGCTCTGTCACACCGAAGGCAGGGCAGGGTTTCCTTCTAAGGCTTAGTGGACGTGAGGGTCGGGTGGTGCTTCTTGGAGGGATGGCAACAGTGAAGTGCTGGGCGGTCAGAGGTGAACTGGAGTAAGCACTTGATCGGGTGGTGGCGCCTCCGTGACCTTGGTTAGAAGCACTGCTGGGCTCTGCCAGGGGGGAGCTCAGAGTGGCCGCTCGTGGAGTCCGACCTTGCAGGCTTCCAGGCTGGACCTCCAGGCCCTCAGTAGATATCAGGGCAGTCAGAAAAATTCCGCTCGAAGTAATCCCCTGCATATAGCCAGTCAGGAGTCCCAGTGTAGGGGTTGTCACCCGGGTAGAACCACCTGCAGGACACAAGGAGTGTAGTCAGAAGGCGCCTGGTGCCCATTACTTGTGCCTTGATCCAGTGGTACACAGGGTTCTAGAAATGCAGCCCAGGGAAACACTTGCAAATGATAATTACTGACAGTTTTCACATAAATGTGCTAATCTACACACGTCCACTCATGTCCCTGTCATTTCCCAACTGAACTTCAAGGATTTAACTCAACAAAAACCTTCTCACCGGAACATTCTCAGAGCAAAAAGAAGATGCCTGTGGCCTGTGGGTCAGCAGGTTGCAGGCGCTGGTCCTAGTCAGAAGCCTCTGTAGCCACTGCCCACGGCTCCTGTGGCCCTTGGCTCCTTCTAAAGCCTGCATCACCTGCATCTTCACTCCACAACTGTTCCATGACACAAAAGCAACTAAGGACATTTGCAATTTGCCATGAAGCCTATTTTGGAGGAGCTTACAAAGAAAATTATCTTCTAAGGACAAAATATTATTTTCACAATATAATTTTTTATACCTTTGACACTTTAAACAGGTTATTTTCAGCTGTTTTTCTCAGAAATGAAAGGAGATTCAAATCTAAAACCACTAAAAAGGCTCAATATTAAATAAATTGGAAGTCTAAGGATCAAGAATTGGTTTTAAAAATCCCAGCCATATCCCATTGGGGTGGTCATTAATAGGCCTTGAAATCAAAGACTAAAGAAGCAGCCAGCTGGCATGGTGGTGGTACGTACCTGCAGTCCTAGCTACTTGGGACTTAGGCAAGAGGTTCGCTTGATCCTAGGAGTTCAAGGTTCAAGAGACTAGGCAACATACCGAGACCTGGTCTCGGAAGAAAGAGAGAGAGAGAGAGAGGGAGAGAGGGAGAGAGGGAGGGAGAGGGGGAGGGAGAGAGAG